TAGGTTTTTGTGGCTCAAAAAAAAATATGATGCCAATGAGATGGACCGTGGATTTTTTTATCATAGACCTTAGGGTAGTAAGACCATCAACTGGTGAAAGTTTCAGCTTGGCTGCTCGAGGTCACTGTAAGGGTGGGAGATTTCCGGTGGAAGTACCCATATACATGAATATAAGAAATTGAACTTTCCTTTTAAATTGGTCCTTTTTTAGTTTTCAATAGTGGAACGGACGACGAAGAAGAAAATGGGTGATTTTCTTTCCTGTTCAGCATTATCGTCTTGTTGTCGTCCATTCCACTATTGAAAATTAAAAAAAAGGACAAATTTAAAAGAGAAGTTCAATTTCTTAATATTCATGTATATACGTGTGTTCTTATTTTGTAAATTTAATTTATTGTATAACACCCTACGAAGAATATATGTCCTTCGAAACGTCGTAATAAAAGAAAAGAAAAAACGAAGAGTAAAATTAATAAAGCATTTTACAAATATTATGCCCATCCCAACAATCACTGAAGAAATTATTATTACAGTAGTCATAATTAAACTCAATCTCAACTGTTTCTTGAATTTTATGGTATAGTTCAGTGAGTTATCGTGGTAATGCCTGAGCACCTTATTATACATTTATAATCTTTAGTTCTGTCAATCAGATCTTCTCATGTTTATAAGCGTTATTCGCCAAAATATAAATATACTTAAACAGTCTGTTTTCTAATTAATTTATATTATTAAAACAGAAATTTCAACGAAATTCACGATGAATAAGATTGGGGAATGATCTCAGAAAATGGATTTTGACTTTCATGTAGTGAAAACATTTACAATTTTCACTTAGCGATGTTTTCGCAGATGAGACTGAAAGTTAAGAATTTCTCTTAACACCACACGTCTTCTCTCAGAGATTTGATAATCTAGTTACGAATCGTATAGTAACCGTATGGAGCCAGTTTAGTACATAAAACGAGTTTACTAATCGATCGTTTATACATATACATATCTTCAATACTATTCATCAACGACATTGAAAACAATTTCTTAAAATTATTATACATTGAAATATTATTGATTTAGAAGAAAAAGTAATTTATTCTAACGGTATAATTGAGCAACCTGACTTCATCATAACCATTTCATCGGTTCATCATTTATCAATTACAGTTTGATCATTAAACGACTTCATTGTTCATCATCAGTGACGACAACAACAATTTTGTGATTGTAAGATTTACTAAAAACATGGTTACTTTCCATATCATTGTAATTCTTATTATGATCGAATTCGTTCCTACGTTTACTGCTGATGCGACAGAAATTGATTGGAAACAATGTGGTGATTTCGGTCTCGAGAAAATAGATGCAGAAGATGTTGAATGTGGTTTTCTATCAGTTCCTCTCGATTATACACATCCTAAGGGTTCAAGAATACAAATCGCCATTTCACGTATAAAGCACAAAGTATCAGCTGATAAATTTCAAGGAGCCATTTTGGTCAATCCAGGTGGTCCTGGTAGTTCTGGCCTCTCATTAGTCACTATAGGTTCAGCGCTTCCAAAAACAGTGAGTGATGCCTACGATTGGATTGGTTTCGACCCGCGTGGTGTAGGCTCTAGTAAACCGGCTCTTTATTGCATGCCTAATTATCATGACGGTCCGACGCCAGATTATATTCCGCGGAATAAAAAGTTGGAAAATTTTTGGTTAATGCGCTCAGAAAGTTACGCTAGGGCTTGCATCAAGAACAATTCAAAACTTTTATCATACATGACCACAGTCGATGTAGTGAAAGATATGGAAAGAATTCGAGTCGCTCTATATCAAGATCAAATCAATTTCTATGGACTTTCTTACGGCACTTATTTAGGTCAAGTGTACGCAACTTTATTTCCCAATCGTGTACGACGCATGATTTTAGACTCAAGTGCAGATCCACGTAGTGTTTGGTACAAATTGAATATTGACCAATGTTCAGGTTTAGATTACAACCTTAAAATGTGGTTTCGTTGGTTGGCAAAGTATAATAATGTTTTTCAACTTGGCGAAACTGAAAATCAAATAGCAGAAAAATGGAATGACGTCGTAAAAGAGTTGGCAATAAACCCTGCTAATGGTACAGTTGGACCACTGGAGTGGATCGGCGTTTTCACGCCAGTCACATATAGTCAGTTGCCATGGACTTTATTTGGAGTCATTTTTTCACGTTGGATTAATCAGAAGGATTTTTCCGGACTCTTCATCTTTCATAAAATGCCTAATAAACTGATGGTTGATAACAAATACGCTGTTTATCTCTCTGTTATGTGTTCTGATGCAAAGTGGCCACAAAACTGGAAAAATATACGTATAGAAAACTGGCTCACTTTTAGGAAGGCTCCCATCTTTACATGGTTCAATGCTTGGCACAATGCACCTTGCCAATATTGGCCTCAAAAGGTCAGCAAACCGGTGCACGTAAACGGAAGTAACGTTGGTGACATTTTACTCATTATTGGAACACTTGATGCACCAACACCATTTGAAGGAAGTCTCGAAGTTCGTCGACGTTTTCCACATGCAAGACTTATTGCTAAGCCTGGCGGAATGGCGCACGCTCTGCAGCCTGGACACAACCCATGCGTTTCTACTTGGATTGCAAAGTACCTAGAATCGGGTGATCTCCCAACGCGCAAGTCTTACAATGGTCCCGATGCACTATGCCCTCCAATGCCAGAGCCTAATCCAGAAATAGATGAACAAAATATGCAGGACGAAATAGACGTTGTTCAACGTGAACGATTCTATCAATTTTGAAATCTACACATTAATGACTGCTACACGTTTAGTTTTGTTTTCTTATCAATAGAGTAGTATTTATATTAGAGTTTATTCCTCGTTTTCGAGTATTGTTTTCGTTATCATTCGAGCAAGCTGCCATGCTTTTCCATTTTTTATCCTCTAGGATGTGAGTTTGGGTGTAGAAAGTAGGGTCCTGCGGGAACGATTTTTTCCCGTATTTTCCCGTCCCGTTTCCCGCGGGAATCAGGAACGAGAATTCCCGTGAACAGTTCCGGAACGGGAACACGGAAACGGAAATTATATTAGAAATTGGCATTCCCGAAAATCTTCTTGTCTTATTTTTATATGCATTAAAAAGTCTTTAGGTAAGTTAACATTGTTTTATTTTCAATAACTATTTATATATATATTATCATTCATGTAAAAAAAATAATCAAAAAATCGATTAAAAATCGATCATAATCATACGATTTTAATCAATAATTTAGGCAATAATAATCATAGCAAAATTAGGTTTTCATTGGTTATTTCAATTATTGTGGTTATAATCGATTTTTAAAAATATCCTAAATCGATTATAATCACAACAATTGAAATAATTAATTAAAACCTTGTTAGCACTGGTTATACAGTTTATTATTCAAATAATGAAAAAGTGTGTGTATTTATATGTAGATAGGAACATGTCATATGTTGAACAATAGTACAAAGAATGATGATCATGCCAGACGTGTTGAACAATAGTACAAAGAATGATAGTCACGCCAGACGTTGAGCAATAGTATAAAGAACGATGATCACGCCATATGTATAAAAGAAGACTATTGGAAGATAATATGATCATCAAGAGTTACCTCGATAACACCTCCGCCCCTTGAAGATGAACGTCCTCGTTCATTCATAAAATTAAATCCGTTTATTTCCTTTTATTTGGTTGAAACCAAAGTAAACTTGTCGAAGTAAAATAAAGACCATAATTTAATCTTGTGGTGTAAAGATTTGTTTCATCATATTCACATGTACTTGTCTAATATAATTCGAATGTTCTAATTGAATTTCATATGTAACGGGTCCAAGGACATTAATCATACGGTATGGTCCTTCGAATACTGCTTGCATTTTATTATTTCGTACAGCTGGCTTTGCTAATACCAATTGTCCTATTTCATACTGAATATGTTGCCGATGTTGATCATAACGT